TAAACACAAAAAACTCTTAAAAATTATTTTTTTCATATTAATTATAAAAAGTTTATTAAATTTAAGCTTTTACATATTATTTTTATGTTAAATTCTTGATGATTAAATGTTTTTTGTTTATTCATTTATCTTTCATGCTTACTTCGCATTAGCATAATCTCCTCTCCGTTATGCTCCCCCGATTCTTCCTCTCCCTCTTAATTTTCGCCCTCTGTGATGCTTCGCTTATAAGGTAATTATCTCATAATGTGAGATGTTTATATAGAATACCCTTGACTCCTTTTCGGGCGGTTCGCCGAACTCTAGAAGAGTCTTCCGTTTCCATTAGTAAAATTCGTCAACGATGGGCCAAATTTGACTTGCACGATGGAAGGCCACAGCCACTCATTAACTATCTTGATGTATGCTTATAATAGTCTTACTTCAAGGCACAATATTATGGCCCTATTACAATAGGGACACCCCCACAAGATTTCAATGTTGTTTTCGACACCGGATCCTCCAACCTATGGGTTCCTTCAAAAAAGTGCAAATGGACCGATATTGCATGCCTTCTTCACAACAAGTATGATAGCACGAAATCATCCACTTACAAGAAAGATGGCCGCAGTTTTTCCATAAGATACGGAACTGGGAGTCTTACTGGTTTTCTTTCGAATGATACTGTTTCTGTTAGTACAGTTTTTCACTTAATTTTACATGATTTTACTTATTTCTAATCTCTTTATTTTTTCTTATTAGCTTGCTGGATACGATGTCTCTTCGCAAACTTTTGCAGAAGCTACAAGTCAGCCTGGCCTCGTTTTTATCCTGGCTGCGTTTGACGGCATTCTAGGTCTAGGTTATCCTCAGATTTCTGTAATGAATGTCACCCCAGTTTTTGATAATATGGTCAATCAAGGCCTGATTGATGATCCTGTATTTGCCTTTTATCTTGACCGGTATAACGATTTATTTTGTCTATCCTTACGCCTGACAATTTGACCTGTAATCATCCACCTCGCCTTCTTTTATGTAGCAATGTTTCTGATCCAATCGGTGGCGAACTTATGATTGGCGGAACAGATCCCGCCTATTATGAGGGTGATGTCTTTTATATTCCTGTGGTTGATAAAGGCTACTGGCAAGTCTCTATGGACGGGTATGTCTATTAAAACATATGTATTTGGTTATTTTTTCTGATATCTCCATTAATTCTTACTTTTACTGGCCGCTAGTTTTTTTGTCTTTTAAATGACTCCCATCGAACTACAATTGTGCTCGCTTGAGTGGCTAATGCTAATTATTTTTGCACAAATCTTTTAGTTTTTCCATAGGTGCTC